CCCCGTGATATTGAAGCGAATAATTCATTTTTACTGCTTAATTCTTGGACTATAGTCAAAGCCGAAGTGGGGGCTTGCCGATAAGTTATCGCTCCCATTAGTCTGTTTCAATATATTCTGCATCATATGAATTATGATCACCCATAAATTGAATTTCATAGCCTTTAATTATTGTAAGTTTCCCTGGCTAATGGAAATATGCAGGGCTAGCTGCTAAGAATTGGACTCCATTAATGATTTTTTATTAGGAACAGGGTGAAGCAGTACAATAACACAATGTATATTTCTGCGCTTTTGTTTTATTTTGATTTATAAATTGTGTCCGACAAAAGTTACAACATGAGTAGCTGCAGATCTCTGAAAAAAATGGGGATGGACGACCAGCTAGAGAGCTACAGTGCCACCCAGTGAAAAGGTGCATATGTATTGCTCACAAAAAAGTGTACTGTTTGTCGATTTATTACTTCAACGGGTAATGTCATTTTATCAGTGCGGATAATGCCAATTTATCTGTATAGATAATGCCAGTTTACTTATGTGTGTCCATGCATATCTGGGGGAGAAAAAAGACATAGTAAGAAAAGCAAACACTGACACCAGAGATGTCGCTACCCAGCTATCCACCTCAACCACCCACAGAGAGAGAGGAGGGGGAGAGGGAATATATGTGTCCGTGTTCTCTTGGGAGTGCTGGTAAAATTTTGTTTAGGGGACTTGTATGCATGTTATACATTGGGAAACTTTTGATGAAATTTTTGTATGCAAAGGAAACACTTTATATCAAAATGACGGCATGTTCTGTTTTAATGTGTTCAATAACAAAAAGATTAATTGATTGATTGATTATTGATTAACGCGGACGTATTTCAGTCATATTTTGGCGGGTTTACAAAAAGAATACAAATAATTAAAAAAAAAAACAACAACAACTGGTAAATGGAATGTGATAGTCCATTGTGCACTGAAATAAAAAAATGTGACAATGGAATAGTTGTTTAACCGACGAAGACAGTCTGCTCTTTCTCTCTCTCACACACTTCATGCTAAGAACTGATTGCCGTGTATCAAGATTCAAGAAAGTAAGTGGATGACAATCATGGCTGATATTAATTACCACCATTGAATTTCCTCAATGATGACAGTCCAAGTGTCATTACTGCCATTGAAACTAGAAGCTTACATGAAAATGAAGAAAAATAGCTTGTGATAACACTCTATCGCCAGCATCATGCTTCTTCACTCAGTTTACTAAATTCAGACAGAATTTTGTGTGTGAGAAATGCCCCTTTATACTAATTTATACCTTCTACTTGTTGCCTTTTTCAATTACTTTTGTCATTTCACTGTCTCTAGTTTTGCCGAGATTAATAATGTATAAATTTTGATTTTGAAAATGCAGACTTAAAAGTTTTTTGTTTTTTTTAATGTAGAGAGAGCTAATCATTTTGTTTTATGAGCACATATTGTGTTTTCTTTATTGACTGATCTGTTTTTCTATTAGATAGAATTTATTTTTTTAGAACAATTCTACAAGAAGACCTCTTGGAACGCTCAATTAGACCTTAAAATACTATTACATAAACGATGTTTTATCAATTAACGATTTTTTTTTTTAAAAGTTTAATACTTCGAATAGACACATTCCAGTGAACTCAAAATAAAGCACGCGACAGAGTCTGAAACATTTGTTTCACATTTCGATGTTTTGCTGACTATAGAATTTTTGGTAAACTAACAAATAAACTATATGACTTCAGTTTTTCCTTCATCAACTTCCCCTATTTATGTCAATATTCCAACATCGCCTGTAATGTTTATGTTTATTTCACCCAGCTGATCCGGTACGGAAGAGCATATTTTAAGTACGACCAAGTTTAAAGGGAGACAGGCCACTGACAAATAAGTTCATGCTAAAAGTCAGTATTTCACCATTAAATTTGAAATGACATACTTTGCAAATACAACCTATGGCTGCTTCGAACTTTGGACTGATATTTTTCAAATATATTTAAGATCGTTGATTTTTTTTTTAACTAATTTTTCCTACAAATCACTCCGTTAATCTGATCAATAAAGACCATGACAGGTGTAATCGGTTTACAGGGGATTCTTGCACCTCATAGGAACTTGAATCCTCTCTGATGTTTCCCGGGGTCCATGATTTTTTACATTGTTATTTGTTAAGATTTCTTAGATTAATCATTGCTCGGCGTTAATTACCTTCACCATATTTGAGAATAGACTCAACAAACCATGATTTCTACATCTTATAGCAATAATTAGCATTATAAAGTATATTTTAATTTATTGGAACAAAATCCATTAAAAACTAAATTTCATTTACTATCAGTAAAAAAGTGAATAAATTTCATGTGATGTTAAACTCTGCTACAAGTGAACACAGAATTTTAACAATGTAAATTTATTCCCTCAAAAATTACACAAGAACACAGGAAGTTCCGTTGTTTATTTCAAATTATAACACAAAACAATATTACATACATTCTATAAGTCTTAGCACTTTTAACAAACATTTATCTCATTTTTGTAAACCTGAATAAAATGTATACCAGAATATATTCGAAAATTATAAACATATGTATTAAGAGGATTACAGGTTTTTATGACCAATTTTAGACCATTTAAACCTACGGGGGAAAAAGCTCTGTACAAAAATATTAATGTTAGATTGTGGTTAAAAAATCATATTTTATATTTTTAGCTGGAACTGTCGGGTAATTTGCTGACAACCCAGTTTCCTTAATAGATTTTGAAAAAAGGGCAAAGCCGTTTTGCAAGTGCAATGTAAATATATCAAAGAAAAAAGCAATTAAATCGATTGAATAGGGCGCAACACAAGTGACATAATAAGTTCTTCATCAAATTTTCTTACCATGCAGTACTTGTACATTATGGACATTATTTGTACATGACAAAATGTAAGAATATGTGTTTAAGATTAAAAAAAAATATGTACACCTATCAACGAAAACACGCATACGTATACAATTAACGTTTGAATGTTCTACATGTAACTAGGCTTCAAGGGAAAGTCAACAGAGATCTAAATATTAAGTTATTTATCTATAAAATCGCCAGTACTTTATTTGTCTATCACAGTATAGGTTTTACCTTTAGAATTTTTCAGTAGAGATCGATGGAGATTACAAACAACATGTTTTGTCTCGATTATGTCCCGATTAAAATGTAATACGATGTAAACATTTTTTTTTCAGAATTAAACAATTTGTTGATATTTTCTCCTTAAGAACTGAATTGGGTATTTATTTAAAAGGGAGGAAAGTTATGCATTTTTGCTTACAGTGTATCTTTAAGTCAGTAAATGTATTAAAATATTATATAGAAAACATTCTTGTGAAAATGAAAGGATTAGCATTCTGTGTCAATTCATACAGTCAAGTACTAATAAACTTAAACATAAAACTTTTAATTTCATTTGAACGATATTCAACAACAGCTTACAACAAAATTATATTCACTGAGGACATTAAGCACTCATTTGATCATGCTTTTCTTCAATTTACAAAACAAATCTTTTTTCTGGGCTAGATAATGAAGTGTAATAAAAGAATTTTTCTGTAAAACATACAGACACGTCTGGCCCCGGGATCATGAAATATCTTAAGTGAAAACTTAAATATTGTGTTGAAATGACGTAAAAGTCAAACGGACCACAATAAAAACATTATACATCATTGCATTACCAAACTACTGTTATGTGCAAATTTAGAGTTTCACTTCACTATATTATTAAACATCTGACAGAAGACAGAAGTCTGTCAGTTTCATGATCCCCGGGCCAGATCGATATTTAAGATTCAGTTTTACACAAACACATGCATGTACCATGTATAAGTTTTGTGAGGTACTATAATTAGTGAGTACGTGTTTTACAACGAAATTTCTTTACCAGTTTATGGTAAAGTAACAGATAATTCATTTCATAAATAATGAAACCTTATACATGTACACTGCAAAATAAATCAAAATATTGAATACACTTCAATATTACTGACAAAAAGAGAAGTACATTTTAATAATGACACATAACGTTCAATGTCACTGTTCACAAAATGTGGATGAAAATGAAATGAAATAAACAATTTTTCACCTTGCAATACTCATTTGATTTTAAAGTTCTACAGAACAAATCGAAAGACTATCATGGAAAATGTTTCTTTGTCACCAGGCTCTAAGGACAGTGTAAACTGTAAGAGTCGTAAAAAAAAAAAATAAATGGCGGCGTTATGCTTTTTGTTAAACACTATGTTGACCAACGCGCAGATCCTAAATCAGATTAAACATGTATTATATTAGTCGCCATTTTAATGCATAAATGTGAATCGCAAACTGCATTACCATATTCCTCTTAATAGTTTTTTTATTTTTAATGAGAACAAATAATCGTTATACCGAATACTTTACGCAGAAAAAGGGATTGTATAAACTTCATCAAAAGTGCGAAATGTATCACAGAATTACAATTTTGACATTTCTGAATCTTATGAATAGCTTGAAATTTCATATAACTGTTAAATTGTACCCCCGTGGTATCAGAAGCATAATTATTGCCTTGATTTGATTTGCGGTCTTTAGAGCACACATTGCATGTTACATCGATATCCACAGCTCAATGAAACAGGGGGATTGGAACAGTTTATCCTCTTCAACAATAACGATTTATTCCATGATTCATTCAATCAAATAGTAATATTAGATAAACGGCACTAAGCATTGCCAAAAAAAGGGGGGGAAAAAAAAAAGAATTTACGATTTTGTAAACAAGATAATGCGTGGAAAGTTTTAAATATGCACAGAAGCCCACAGCTCAATTTATTTATCAACAATAGACCCATCCTTACTTTCACATGTATCATAATATAATAAATCCTTCTCATACAATTCAAAACAAACAACAGCAAAACAATCACTGATGGTTTTACATGTACTACATCATGGTTGAAAACATGAACGGATGGAGATGGTCTAAAACATCATTTTTGCACATTTTGTTGTAGGAAAGTATGAATTGTTGTTTTTGGGGAATACTATTAAAGGTATTGGTATCTAAATAAGAGAATAAAGCTATATGATTCCACAATTAATGATTATGTGTTTGGGGTGGGACTCCTTTGTGATTTATTTCAGACACTGTCTCCATGCTAGTTGTTTTGAAATGCTCTGTTGAACAAATACATATTCTTACGATAATTCATTTTCTGTAATTCCGTAGCCTACAGCTGCCAATATTCTTTCTGAAAACGAACCTTTATGACTTGTACATGTTAATGACCTTCACACGTTGGTGACCTTCATACGCTGGTGACCTTGGAGAATTTTTGAGAGTCAGAGGAGTCTGGAGTACCCACTTCCGATTTCTCTTTATCCTCCAAACTTGTTTCCCGGATAACCTTGAGTGGGAGGTCTGATACACTTCTGTACGGGGGAGGGGGTCGATTACCCTCGGGATCAGACATTCTTCTCTCCTTTTCCTGTAGCCTGATCGTCGGGAATACCGACCTGACTTGAGACGACTCTTCTAATTTGCTTTCTTTGTCTAGCAAGTCTTCTGGATTATCTGTGACTATTTTAGGAATTATGCTAAATCTCATGTCTTTAGTCTCGACTTTGAATCCTTGAAAATCGTGTTTCTTTTCATTGGGTGTAGTAGCCGCGGTCGAGGATAAAATTGTATTTTGCTCTTTTTCAAAAGAGTTTTTCGTTGCATGTTTGATTACCCTACTGTATACATCATTGGAACATATTGCGGAGTCGTAAAGCGAATCGCTAAATACAGACGGGTCTATTGGTTTGGATTCTATACAGACTCTTTGATCACTCCATCTAACGCTTTCTATTGTACCGGTAGTAATAAATTCAACCGTCGTCTCAGTATTGGAACCGATTTTCTCTTTGGTAACAGTTATATTTGGATGATTTAAGTCTGCAAATACATCACGAAGATCTGACAGCAGCATGACTGCATGAATGTGATTATCTCGTTTTCTTTTAAGAATAATGGGTGCCTCCCCAGTCGGCATTCGCAGGCGAGATCGAACTTCAAAGTCCGCCATGAATTCGTCTTCTGTAACCATTAAAGTTACCTTGGTGATATGATAGGGGTCAACGGTAATATCACTGTCACACTGCCACGTAAACAACTCTTGAAGATTTTCTTCGCGTTTGGATACTCTCAGGTGTCCGTCTGCCGTTGCAGTAACACCACAGTGCCCATAATGATCCGGAATTTTTAACTTAAAATTGGCATTATTCTTAATTACAAATCCCCTTTGGAAAGAAATGTGAGTTCTTGCCTGCGTCTGACGTTGTGTTTTTAGATTATATATTTGTTCCTTGGCAGTGTTATTTTTATAGTCCGTCGTAAATAATTCAACTTGCTTCTTTTCTCTGAAATCCTGTCTCAATGTACTTCCTTGGGGGTTTCGAGTGCTAAACTTTGTAGTTCTATGCTCAAATTCGTAAAAATTCCAGGGAATTTCAATATCGTAATAAGTTCGGCGCAGCAACGGGCCTTGGTACCAGCGAGCATCTCGCTTGAGTTCCCTCCATGCGTAATCTTGAAGAACTGAGTCAAGGTCAATGATGGGCCCATAGTCACCCGACTCCTCGTTACAGGACGAACACAGCATTACTTTTGTAATGACGTTGTACCATTTCAGAACATGGCTGGACACAATGTGGTCCACTCGATGCAGCTTTGATTTCTCTATGACTGGAAATTGGTGTCAACCTGCCGAGTAGATACTATTATAACTAAACAAAACCTGAAAAATGACCAGTAGCCAGTTGCATACCTGTGAGATGCGGAGACATTGCATAAAACCATTTTGAAGTTGGAAAATATTTTAAGCTTCATTTATAGATAACAACAAATTTAAAAAAATAATTAAATAAACTAAATAGGATGATTAGACCTGTTTATAAGCTGACGTAATTCCTTAAAGTTCCAACACGTTTTATGGCAATTTTCTTATAAATCGGCATTCAGAGAAAACTAAGCAGAATTTAAATGGAAGACTGATTCTCTCTCAGTTGACCCCAGGGGAATACTCATATAAATGAAAACTAATCGATTTTATATTCTAAAAGTCCGGATTCAGTGTCAGGCTTTTAGTAGTGTTATTCAAGTAGTTATGGGTAGATTTCTACATCAATGTCTCCTTTACATTCTTCAGCAAGCTAATTGCATTTAGTTGCTATATAATTAGTCTTTAATACAGAGCTTTTATTTTAAGCCTGAGGGGAAGATTTCCTCTTTTTTCCCCATTTCGAAATTCAAAAATTTTTGTGACAGGATTGACGATTGAAAAAATGTAATTATATTCATGACTATTAGTTTCAGTTATATATAGGTACCGAACTTATTATGGAGTTTTTCAGGTATAAAGTTAAACCCCAGGCAGCGGTAGTCACTACCGCATTTTCTATAGGAGGAGCTTATCGAGATAACGCAGAGCAGCTGGTTATATTTAGCATCACTTTCCCTTATCAGCTGATAAGCACATGGCTAATCTTATAATCTGTTGACCATTGCTTTCTACAATTTACCAGTTTAAGAAAGTGTGAAGGTTAACATATGTTTTATTTAATAGCTTTCAAATAATTAAATATAGTAGTGAAAAGATTTTCTGATAAATTACTCATACAAAATACAAATTTAAAAAAGCTACCATCTAATAAAGTATAGTTTTAATATGATGTCAACAAAATTACTAGTATTTGTAACAGCTAATTAATTATACCTCTTTGAATAAGTTTTCACTGTTACAACACAAACAGAATGTCACTTTTTGTAGAATGCACTAATAATTTTATCCCACAAGATAAGTGTAAATTTATTTGTTTTAGGCACAAGGTTTTTATGTCCGGATCTTGCTCTTGGTCGTCTAGCATCCTCATAATTACTTACTGAAGTATACAACATTCTCATTCCAGTCTAGAACAGCCATATGAGATCTGCGTTTGTATTCCTCATCACCAAATTTAATCCGTTTATCGTGATAAATAAGAAGAGCGTTATTAAAGGATTCAACATAATGAGTGTCAATACAGTTGACATAATCATCAGTAGCCCTTTTCACAAAAATCTTAAGTTTTTGCATAGGATTTTAACTTAAGAATCTTTTACGACAAATCTTAAGTGCGTTTCACGAACGCATTCGTAGCAGATTGAACTTAAGATTTTACTTACGACAGACTTCATCCCTAGCAACGACTTCAATATGCTTTATTATCCTTAAATCAATGGGTGAAAATAAAAATAAAACTTAGTTTTCAACATATGTCAGCATAACAAACATTACTGACAACAAATATCGAATGCAATCGTTTGTGAAGCAGGGAAGTTTAAAATCTGACGTCACAATCACAAGTCTGACGTAAAAGTAGGTCATACGAAAATCTTAAGTGAAACTTCAATCGTAAATATTTTGTAGTGTATTTCATTTAATTTTTCGACATTGATTGTGATAAAAATATAAAATATAAATAGAAGTTGCTTAAAAAAGTTCAATTTAATGTGTATTTTGGTTTTTGTGGTTATAATTTTACAATTAAATCTGTTTAAAATACTTAAGAGAGGCTTGGGGCTCTCGTAAAGTTACGACCGATTTTGCACTTAAGAATTTCTTAAGAATTTTTGTGAAAACGATTTTTATCATAAAAATTCACTTAAGATAAAAATATGTCGTAAGATTTTTTGTGAAAAGATCCACTGGTGTTTTGTAAATTTGAAGTTTTCTTATTTCATTTTTCAAAATTCTCTCTGCATCGATCTGAATCCTTAAGAACGTGTTTGGATGGTACATAGTTGGGATCACATTTACATCTTGACTCTGTGGAACAATTTTCATGATTATTTTTATAATGTTCAACTATGTTGTCCAGAAATTCTCGGAGTTTCTTTGATGATCCTTGGCAGTTTTTCATGGCATAATAAGTATGTGTTTTAATAGATGCAACTTTATCTGAAAGATCCGGATGCCAAGTGATGCCTCTGTATTTCAGTGGACCATTTGCAATTTTCTTCATTTCCTTGCTGACATTCTTGCTTGCGTGCCATGTATCATTTGCATTTGTTACGGATGGCTTATTCTCCGACAAATATTTGTTAACACTTGCATTTCTGTCATGACCATGAACGTTGACAGAAACATCCTTCTCATCAAAATGGTTGTAAAGAAGTTCAACTCCTTTCATTTCATGTCTCTGACTTACAGGATCGTCTTGTCTTGTTACAATCTCCAATCCAACAACTCGATGGTGTGTTTGGCCTAATGCAACAACATCTGATTGGGCTGCATTTCTTCTCCAACCATGGCGGGCATCTGTCATGATATTTATTCCATTATACTGGGTTCCATTTTCTTCTGCTTTTAGAATTTCTGTTGCTACTTCTTCATTGATTGCCTCAGTTACTGATTCCTCAGCCATATTTCTAGTAACAGAACAGCATAGATCATGTTGGCTTTCAAATGCACTCTCTGGTATAACCCCTATATTTCCAGCATCACAAAGTCGCTTGTATTGACTGTAGCGTAATCCTGTTGCATAGACAGAATGCATCATTCTCAAATTTACGAGAAACATTCCACCTGGCAAATGTTGTGATGAATCTGCCGAAATCAAGTGGTTTTCCTTGCAGGCAAATGTCACCTTAGCAGTATGACCAAACCATTGCAATTTCTTTACATCCAAAAACTCCTGACAAGTTTGGCCATGATGTTGAATTCCAGAGCAAATGTTTCTCATTGCTGAATAAGATGTTAAAAACATATCCTCATCTGTTGTTTTTTTGGTCACATGGTAAATAAGGCTGAAAGTTCAGTTTTTCCTCTTGAGGTGCATTATCTGTTAATCCATGCATTTGGATGAAAAAGTCAAACACACTGTTCAGTAACTGCTCATTTGTTACAGATGACACTTTTTCGGCCAAACAAAGTTTGATTTTGTCCATCTTGTTGTAAACAATAACTTTTTCTTCTTCAGATTTAACATAAAATCTAATACATCCAGTAACAAGTGGTTTTTCTTGTACTTTGCGCCTTTCATTCCGAACTTTCATTTCTTCTCCAGCATCAGATCTTCTTTTATTTCTCCCTTGTTGTTCTCTATTCTCATCTCGTATTCTCTTTGGTACTTGTTCATCCATCTTTACTTACTTCTTTATCATGTAATAACAGATTTTGTGAATATGTAAGTAAATTGTCTGTCAAGTCAGCAGGTGGTACCAGCCCTACTATGGTCAGTGGGGGTGCCATAGGGTAGTCAGAATGATTTCTGTATTGAGAACTCATTATCATATACTATCAGATTTGTTTCTTATTTAATTTTCTTATAATGTTTTCTTTAGTTTTGCCTTGTGCCCTTTTATTTTTATAACTTACTAATTATATAACTATGAGAATGTGCAACTTGGTAAAACAAAATTGTGGCCTCCTTTATATTACTCTGCATCTCTGACCATAGACATGTTTACTTCATTAGATAGAGGGTAATGTAAGGGGGTACATTACATGATTTAGACAAGGTTATTAACAATTTGAACATCACATTTTAATAAAGATCGAAAAGCGGTACAAAAAATTAAAATATTTAAAAATCATTTTCAAAAAAAGACTTTATGGACAGCATTATGCACTGCATTTTGATGCTATCATACCCTTGACTTAGTCAACTCTTCCACAGTACATGCTGTGAAGTTTGGCGGGAAGATTTTTCAGTGGTCAATCAGTTTCCTTTGTCTTGACCATTCCATTGGAAGCCATATCAGTGAAGGAGTTATTGTGTTTTTGCTATTTTTTTTTGTTATGTCTGAAACAAGGAGACAAGTTTGTTTGAATCTTACAGAAGTTGAACTCAATTCTGTCCAAGCTTTGTTTTCACACAGTGAATGGGATTTTGATTCTTGTGTTGTTTTTAATAACTGGTCAGAGGGAAATACCGATGAAGAGATAAGACCTGCTGTAAACCAGGAGATAATAGTCTGCAGCACAAGTGAAAATCCTGGCCAGAATGAGGAGCAGCAACCAGCGGGTGGTAATCCTGGACATGGAGATGATGATGAAACACCACAGGTGAATGACCAGGAATGCATGTATTGTTTTTGTCATCCATGTGTAACTAAAAACAGACAGAGTTGGCTTGGAAAAGGTTCACCACCTCATGTTAGGAACTCCGCAATCAGGAAAACCAAATACAAGAAATTCTGGACAATGATGTCAAGAAGATATGCGTGGAATCATCCGCGATACATTGCTAAGAAGGCTGAAAAACTTAATCAAGGTGACTGTGAGAATATAGTGTGGACACTCAGAGAAATAATGCCTGAATGTGTATTATCTTTAGTTAGGAATTTATATCCTAATACTTCAGGAAGGCCATACATGGGACACAAGTGGTCATAAATACTCTAAATATTACGCAACTAATGAGCATTAAAACCTTTGTTTGCAATAATAAGTATGACAGATATAATATTTTTGTCTTAAATATTGATTGGGTATATGGATTTATTCAATTCAGCAAGGAATTTCAATGCAGTAAGTGGCTAATAAACTTCTTTATGAATCCACATGGCTCTGTTTATTTACATCTCTGCTTTGTTCATTACAATTCAATATGACCAGGGGTCAACTTGCCATATATAGAGCAGAGGTAAATTTGAAATCTGTTCACTTCAGATGTTTTGATGTATATTTTGGCATATAA